TTGTGGCTGCTCCATTTTGTTTGCAAATGTTTTGTCACATTCATATTGCCTTGCTATTTACAGTAGGTTGTAAGTTAAATATCATAGGTCTCTGTAAATATACATTTACTTTCTAAAAATCTAAGTGCCACATTTAAAAACATATACATTTTGTGAATTATAGGAAATTCAGATATTATATACCGATTTATTCTTTGTTAAGGGCATTAAAATGAATTTTAAAGAGCCTGACATGACAAGATATACTATTGACTAATAAATAACCACTAAATTAAAATCAGGCTTTTAAAGGCTCTCATTTCTTTGGCTCTGCGGGAAAAAACTAGAAGTTCACGCTGTCTGGTACAAATTCAGCTCCCCGAGCCATGGAATGTTAATGGAATAATGTTCACTGTAGTATTCCGGCTGTACCTGAAATGATTTGAAGAACATCTATCATACTTCAAAAAAATATTTATATGCTTCCATCTATTGCTTGGGGTGTGCAAGTAAAGCACCAGTAATTGTTTTTAATTGTTCAAACGTGTCCACCAAAATGTCAGCTGTATAGAGGTAATGTACAGATCTGACCTCAGAAAAAGCTAGTTGCTGACTCCCGGGAAAGCAATACAAAACCATACAGATAGATTCTGGTTAATAAAAATATATTTATATTAAAAATACATTTCCTTAATATCTTTGAAAACCACAGGGGCACAACCTGGCACTAACATAACACTAACAAATGATACTTAATGTTTACGATTTTTTGTAGTGGAGGTACAGTAGAACAGGCAGAACAGAAATAATGTATTTTCATAGGATAGACATTCATTTTTATTTACTAAATCTTTGGTGTTCTATAATCAAAGAGTTTGTTTTAGAAAACTTAATCTGGAAAGCTAATGGCCCTTTTAATCAATTTCTAGTGTTTTCCTACAGCAATCTTTACCAGAAATGTGCATTTAAACAGTATACGTGTTATTTCTGGTGCTCTGCACCAGCAAACTGCGACTCTCATCTACAGTCCATTTGCAGTGTTCTACATTAGGGACTCAAGGTCACTCCTGACCAAGCATGACTGTTGAGCAGCTATGTGGAGCAGTGGTTAGGGCTCTTGATTCAAGACCGGAGAGAGTTCATCCTCCAGCTGAGATACTGCTGTTGTACACTTGAAGAAAATTCTACAGTCAGATAGCTCCAGTAAATGCCATGCTGGTGTATATAAATAAATTATACATATAAACATCCACTTCATCACTATAAATAATAATTTGTTCTCTATCAACATAACTGTATACTTAACTATGTATATTATACATACTGTTAGTCATTCCGCACGCATTTCTCTGACCCATCTCGTATTCCCATGCGCGCTGTGTTTAACAAACGTTCACGCCGCAAGTAATGTACTGTACCTATCACTGTTCACTCCTGTCACTATTTCAGTTCCCCTTTTTCCTCACTTCCTCACTTTACACATACAATGAAGTTCAGATCACTGCATTTTTCTTCATTAAGGTTTACATTATTCCCTTGATGTTTTCTGTTCTCGATACAGAACATTCTTCATCATCGCCATTTCTTTCACATTTAAAAAACATAAGAAAGGAGGCCATTTGACCCATCTTGCTCATCGGGTTGTGAAATAACCAAGAGAATGTAGAAGTTTGTCCAGTTATTTTTTGAATGAGATAAAAATATGGGTTCATTTCAAACAACATTTGTGGGCAGACAGTAATAAAAAAAATCTAGAAACAGCAATACTATCTCAAACGATCATATAGTTGAGCATTCTGTCCAACCCTAGCAGTGTAATGCACAGGGCCCAACTGCATCAGACTGGAATTATAATGTGACAACTGGCATCAAACACAGAAACAGAACAAAATTAAACGAAGAGAGTCAATTCCACCAAATGTCTGTATTACCCAGTTAACTGTAGGGAAACCAGGGTCATGGAATGCATAGTAGTTTACTCTCTTTAAAACCTGCTTACAATACTATAAGGTTATATTATACAATACTGTTCATTCCAAACCCCTCCTTTAAAATGTTTGATGCCAGAAAATATCACTTAAAACAGACACGAACGTACTAATTTCCAGGGAAAGCATAATACCATTCATAATTAGGCTTTTTTTAATTTGCAGTTTAGCATCAAAATCAAAACAAACCTTTCTTTGAAAATAAGTCACATTTCTGCCAATATGACACAACATAGTCAGCAAAGAAACTATCTAGTCAAACCTCCTTTAATTTTATACACGACCTTGAGCATATTCTTTCAACAAATCTCATTATGGGAGGGAGAACAGAATATATTGCTAAGTTAAATCATAAGGCAACATAAGAGGAGCATAGAGTGGAAGAGAAATTGTCATAACAGCAGACTTCAAAGGCATACTGATTTTAAACAAATACATATTGTTTTCCAGAGAGTCTCCTTATCACATAGGTTTAAGATGTGGAAAACTAAATCATAACCATAAAGCAGAAGTAGGAGAATGCCATCAGCATGGAGTGAAAGGCTGTATTTGAAACCCTGTACATTAAGGGGGATGATGCTCACAGTTTGTCTAATAGCCTTTGCCAGTGAAGCTCATGATAGGACAAACGGCAACGTCGAGGTTGAGTGCCTCTACACAGTGTGATCCATAGAATCCATTAGTTGTAAAATAATGAGTAAGGTATTTCGGGCATGTGTGTGTTTTATCTCTAACGTTTCAAAGTATATTAAAGCACTTTATGGTAGGTGTAAAAAAAGTTAAAAACAAAAGAAACCAGTTGTAAGGATAGTATTTACAAAACAAGCACATATAAGAGAGACCAGCGCTCAGAAATGCAGCAGAAGATACAGTACATGGTCATTAAAAAATGGAGAAGCCACAGACATTAAATAAAAGCATTTCTGAAAAAAAAAGGTTTTGAGTCTAGATTTAAATGCACTCAGGATAGTTGACTGATTTCATTGGGGACAGAATTCCAGAGCTTTGGAATGTAGCAAAAAACGGGCACTATAATCCATAGAATAGAAAAGAGCTTTGGGGACACATAGTAGACCAGTCAGATGAATCACAACCTGGTAGGAAACCAGTGCAAGGACTCCAAGACAGGTGTCTCTTGCACACGACCTGGTGAGGATTCTGGCTGCTGAATTATGAACATATTGGAGTTTGTTCAATATAGATTTACTAATCCAGTGATTAGAGCATAGCAGTAAAAAGACCAACACCTTTTCTGTTACAGTCAAAGACATCATAGAGTTTCGAAGAATGGTATTTTTCATTATTCTGCACATGAGGGTCAAAAGTCAAACCGGGACCAAATATCACCCCTACATTCTTTAATTGTGATTCAGCACAGTGCTGCTCACAGAAAGGCTTTACGTAGATGATGGGAGGTGCCGAGTAACATGACCACAGTCTTGTCACAATTTAAGTTAAGGAAATCTTGAGAATGGACACAGAGTTGAGTATCATCAGCATAGGAATGATAATTCACACCATGCAATTTTAATATCAAGTGGGAACAGATAAATGCAAATTACATGTTTCCACATGTAATGTTACACACACTTACAGTACATGTTGTACTGCACACCCTAGACTGTGTTCAGACAGTATTTGCACTAGGCTAGCCATTGATGATCTTCAACTTGGTGTTCAATCCAAGTAAGTAATTTCTCCACAAAACATTCTGGGCAATATTGTGAGATTAGAATATTCCAGCAAGACAAGAAGCAAACCACCATCATGCCAAGGTGGTGAGTCTAATATCCAGGCTGCCTAAAGGATGAGCTGTCAAATCAGTTTAGTAAAGAATTTTAAAGTTGAAGGTTCAAGGCCTGCTCTCCATAAACTGTTATCATCCCAAATCCTATTTGTCTTGGAAAGGGTACCCAATTTGTAATGAAAGTTTTGGAAGGAAGTTCCTCTTCAGTGTTCTCTTGCAGATTAACAATATGAAAGCTAGATCAGGTGCTTCTATCCTTCAGTTCAGCCAGACAAGATTTAGACAGGGTTATCTCATTCTCTATCTCTCTGATTCAGTTTTTCTGAAGTAAAAACACCAACTAAACTTTCTTTGTTGACACATGACAGAGCAGTTGCAGTTTCCTCCTACTTGCCTTTCTCAACTCCTGATTTTCTGCTTTTTAACAACTATTTTTCACACTAATCTTTGTACAGGCATCACAACAGGTGCAACTCATCTAAATCAACTAAACCCAACTAAATACTGTAAACACATCAACTAAAATGTGTTGATTTATAATACAGAATCAGTTGCTCACAAACAAGGGCTGCATCTGGGTCAACAATTTAATACAAATAACAGCGACAGATTTATTATTTTGCAATCTTTATTATGTTAATTAAAACTGAAAGTGTCTCTTAAAAGCTGTTCCATAAAGGATACCCCACACACTCTCAAGACAGCAATGTTGTGTGAAATGTGAGGAACAATTTGTCCAAAGAATTCGCAATACAGGCAGAATATGAAAAGACAAACATTTGTCTCACAAATTATGTCCTTTAGAAATCCTGCCACTAATGTAAAAAAAATCTGTTCTGTGCAATAGGTTGAATACAAAAAGGAGTGGATTGTGTTGAATTTGATAACTTCTTCATGTTCTTTTTGAAATTCCTCACATTACTTTGTTGTTACTCATCTCAACCTACGTCTATCCTTCACAAGCAAATGTCATTTCTCAAAGATGACTGCCGATGACTAAAGGTAAAACAAAAAGCTACGCAATCATTAACAATCTATAATTCTAAGCATAAACTCTAAAATACCATTTTTATCTTCTTCTCAATCTACGACTCATTTAGAAAGCAGTAGTTATTCATAGGTACTGTAGTTAGTAATCTAATAGAAGCAGCATCCTAAAAAATCACACATCTCAAGCAGATGGTAAACGAGCGCAGTGTATGGAATACTAAACTGATTATATGTAAACAGCTACTCTTTCATATTTTAATGAAATAAAGCAATATTAATGACAAATTACAGCCTACCTTCTTCTACAGTGGAATCCAACTGCGTGACTTTAACTGCAAGGAGATCCACCCTCTCCTGAAGGTTATTCATCCGCATGTAGAAGCTGTTTGCTTCATTGAACAGCTCCCCAAATATATCTTCAGCATGTCTACCTGCATTAGACACATATATATGTTACTTCTTAGTAACACTGACACACTTCAAGAAACTCAATCACTTAGTTTCTGCTTTCTGACGAGAAAACGACTGTTTAACTCTCAGAGCTCAAAAAGCACGGCCTTTATTAAGCCAATATGCGGGCGAGCATGTGAAAGCAGTAACATTATGTCTCAGTAGAAAGTGTGTACTCACTGAGGCTGCCCAGCTGTTTGATGATGGCAGCAAGGGTGCTGTTGGTGACACACTCGAGCTCACTGGTGACCCCTTCTGGCAAGGCGCCACGACACAGATGGCGAGGTTCGATGCTCCTCTTCACCAAAGGCATGTCTGCCCGTGAATGTCAGCTAGACAAAACTACCTGCTTTCAGAAGACAGAAAAAGAGACAGAAAGAAAGAGGTTTACTCCTTGACTTTCTGACTTTGTGAACTAAAGCATACACTTGAAATGCATTGTTTTACAAAGAATTCGATTTTTGAAGCCGACAAAAGTGGAAAAGAACGACACACAAAAGGTGGGTGAGGATTTTCATGGTTGACCTTGGCCACCCTGCATTGTTAGAAAAGACAAAGATACACCACTCCTGAGAAAACAACAAGGGAACTGTTGATGAGAGTGACTATACCAAGAATCTATGAAGAAGAAAATGACAAAAAAAAAGATTATAACTTTTCTGCTCCACTGAGTTATTTTTAAAATGCAGCAGTTTACATTTTGCGCATGCGGTGCTTTGGAACTATGCATTATCCACTGTAGTGTACTGTGTCTCTTAGCATATGCATCTACTGTATTGGATATATGTTGTTATATATATTGTTATCCTTTACCAGCTGGGCAACATTTGCTTGTAGATTGAGATCCAAAAATCAGTTAACTTGAATGTATTGTGCAGTACTCTAAGCGCTTTGTATAAAGCTTTCTTCAGGTCGTGCTGGTTAGAAACACAAGAACAGAAAACAACTAGTACATTCCAGTCACACAAGGACTATGCTGAAATTAAAACACACAATATTATTTGTGTGTAAATAGAACACCAAAGCTTCATTGCATTTCTTCTAAAAGTAAAAACAAATTTTTGATGAATGCTATGCAAATTCAAAACAGTAAACATCCTTTTCATAAATGTCCATGTCTATGTTATTTCCATTCACCTCACAGCATTTATTATAACATATACTGTAGACTATTGGGTCTCAGATTATTTACCATGGAGTATAACATGTTCATGCTCTCACTTGCTCTCTGCTTTCTCCTACAGTACACTATATCACATATCTCAGACTGCTCATTTCTTCCTGCCTATGGGGAGTCATGCGATGCTGCTTAAACTTCTCTTCAAGTGCTTGACCTAATTTTTTCCAAATGTTTACCAGGGGTCTGGTCTCATTCTTATCTGGCTTCCATCTCGCATGAAAAATCAGTCCGCTGTCAGTTAGTTTTATATGGGACATTGCAATAGACAAGCATGGCATGTACAGTAGTTTGGCACAATATTTTTGTCTTCTGTTAAAAAAGTTAACACATAATCCATTTTAAACTTCCATACTGAGTCTATGCAACACCACGCAGAGACTTTTAGAACAAAAATACTTTTGACACTGCAAGACCTGTACACACACTTTCTCCAAACTCCTCCTCCCAATGAGGGAATATTGTTTTCCCTCAAACTGCACCTATTTTTTTATGATCTCAAAAGGAGATTTTTGATAACATGATAATAAGTGTCTTGTTACCAATGAAAAATAAGAAACAGTATTGAGGTGTTTTAAGAGAAGCCAACAGATTAATATATATTTACCAACAGTAACTGAAAAATTGACGTGCTTTTTAGCTGTTACCAAAGAACAATGTTAATACTTTAGTTCTAGAAGAGATTTTTGCTGCTTTAATATTGCTTATATAGAGAAAATAAATAATCCGAGTAGGCTTAGGAGTAGAGGCTTAAAAATAATGATTTGGCAAAACGAGAAAACATGCTTATAATAGTTAGCCCATTTAACTATTTCTAGTAGTTAGCAAGACGAGATATGTAAAATTTGTAAACGGTTGAACAAAAAAAGACACAGAGCAGCAAAGTTTAAGGCAATGCAACAACTGTATCTTTCAATCTCTTGCCCTTTTCAATTCTAACAGATTTCCTGTATGTAAAATGCAGCTCTTTTAACACCTGAAGCACCTGCAACACATTTTGCTGACATAAAGTTAAAAATAAGGAGGATGTTCAATGGTAAAACTAAGATCACAAAGGAAATTACTACAACAGAAAGTGCCTTTAATGTTGCGAAAAATGCTTCATATAAAGAAAAAACGAATGCTAAAAAATGCTAGCGAGTACGTTTTTATTTCTAAATTGTCTGCAATTACTTCTGGATGTATTTGAAAGGATGTACTGTATACAGGTATTTTGTAGTAAAATACCCAGAATGCAAAATACTAAATTAATGTGAAAAAACACAAACATAATTTAATAACATGTAATGGTTGTGCCTATTGTTTACACACAGTTAAAGTGACCATATGGTATACAGTTTGTAGGTCTTGTAGCCAACTAGACAACTCAGTATTTACAGTAGGTGCTAGGACCTTCCTCAGTCTGACAGCTTGTGCTGTCAGATCCCCCAGAACCACCCACCACAGACCAGCATATGACAGGAACACTACATAATTCCAGTTTTAATGCTCTAAGCAATTACAATAAGGTATCACTGTCTAGAAGAACAGAAGAAAAAAAAGTATCCATAAGGAACACCCACACTAAAACAAATGGATGCCATAGTTCCCAGTAACCAAAACAAAAGTCCCAAAGAAACATTCAATAACAACATTCCCCAGAATCAATCCAGTATTGTGGTGTACTTCCTTCTGGCGCACAGAAAAATGAAACAAAACTCTTGTTTTACTACTGTACTATATACTAGTATATACTGTAGATAGTACAGTATATGCTATACAGTAGGTAGTATAGACTATAGACTATATACTACCTATAGACTACCTATAGTATCTTCTTCAGTCCCAATAGTCCCATACAACATATTTCATTATACTTCCCCTGATTTAAAAAAAAATAATAGTAATAATGTATATAGTGCCTTTAAAGGTAGCTTCCCAAAGCACCTTACTGAACAACATCAATGAAAAAGAAATATACACAAGATGAGGGAACGGAATACAGAAGGAGCAAAGGGGAAAATAAAAGAACCAGTTAAGTTAAGGTCTTCTAAAGCAGAAGATTTTGAGTTTAGAGAAGGTGACTCTTTGATATCCTTGGACAGAGAGTTGCAGAGTTTTGGGACATAACAGGAGAAGGCTCTGTCACCCATAGTGTAGACGGGCTTGAAGGACAGATGGGAGACCAGAATTAGAAGGGCGAATGTTGCAAGGTGGGGAGTAGAAGAATAGTAGCTCAGACAGGTACTGAGGTGCCAAACCATACAGAGCCTTATATTGTTGGTGAGCATGAGGACTTTGAAGTCAAAACGAAACCTGTTGGGAAGCCAGTGCAAGAACTCAAGGATAGGAGTAATGTGATCACTTGCACTAGACCTTGTCAGGTTTCTGGCATAAGAATTCCGGACATAGTATCGGGGAAGAGGCAGCACCTTTGCCTCTCTGTATCTGGCCTCCACTGGCCAAGGTTTATGATGTTTGGGTCAGGACTCCAAAACTTGAATGAGGGATGGGCAGTCTAGGTAATCATGGGGGGGGGGTTCACCATGTGTCTCAGTGCTCTGTCCCTCCTTCCCTCATCCTGTCTTTCCTCTCTGTCCCTCTATTCTAGGTCTGCTTTCAGCCTGCGTAGCACTCCCAAACATCTAGTGTGCCACTTGTGACTGTGTGGTAATTGACCAGTGTCTAGACAGTGTATCGTTTAATTTGTTATGATTGTTGCCTGCTGTAATTTACGTGCTACAGACCAGGGAACCCTTAAAGGAAGAGATAAACAGAGAGAAAAGGCACCACACCTGACAAACCCTGGCCATTATTTAAACAAAGTCAAGTAAACATAACCCCCCAAGCCACTATCCTATTCCCATGACAAATTGTGTTTCAGCAATTTATGGTATGGATGGCCCGCCTGAAGTATTTTAAACAAATACAAGTAAGGCTGCCATAGTAAATGAGTTTGACACCTCTGATGTAAATTGGTGCAATATACAGTAGATTGACCTTGACCTTCTCTGTCACAGGCGTACTTGGGATATTAATGGAACTAGAATACCTTCATGCAACAGGTATTGGATTTAGCAGCGTAACCATATCAATGAGCCCCATATTCACAGTTTTGGATTCACAGCCCAACATTCACGATTCACAACCTGTTATCAGTCTTTTGACGTTGAGCTATCTCAGTTGTGGGGTTGGGTGTCGGCTGCCAGAATCCTGACCAGGTCTAGTGCAAGGGATCACATTACTCCTATCCTGGAGTCCTTGCACTGGCTTCCTGTTAGGTTTTGTGTTGACTTCTAAATCCTCATGCTCACCCACAGTATGAGGCTTGGCACCTCAGTACCTGTCTGAGCTATTATCCTCCTACTCTCCACCTCACAACATTCACACTTCTTATTCTGGTCTCCTGTCTGTCAGCGGGGTACATTTCCCATAAAAAGAAACACTGCTAAATTACATTGTTCATTTACATTACATGCAAGGACTTTCTCAACCTAGACAAGGATTATCTACTGTAAATTTACTAGCTTCAATCTGAATAGTTACCTATGGCAATATGGCAATAAAGTTCAAGTTCAAGTTCTGTTTTTTTTTCTTTTGGCTGTCTTATTGTGCTCTCTTCTTTATAATCTGTGTTGAATAGTATATTCTAAACAACAAAAATGTTAGAAAATACAGAATTGAAATAGAATAATGTTTTAAATGTGATGAAACATCATTTATTAGATATATTTATTTAATAGCTGTGCCTTAAAAAAACTAATGAGATGTGAAACACAAAGTATACAGTGTCCTAATTATGGATCTCAGCAAGGGCCCATCAACATGGGAGCACTGTTATTTCTTTAAGTGTTTGTTATAATAAAATGGATTTCTATATAATGAAACTGCAAAACTACTAGTTATGCTGCAACATTGCTTTTCTTTAATTCTTTAGCTGGAAGGCTTTACAATTTAAATCCCACTGTGAAACGTAATAAATTAATAAATAACAAACAGTGGCTAGGTCCATGCAGAAAATTACAAAGAGTTCTGCTGTTCAGCCCTCTTCAGGGGTGAGCAATTAAGCTTTAGTAGAAGGTATCTTAGGTCACAGCAGATTTAGTCTGAAGAGGTTCAGTAAGAGAACAAGTAGGAAGCTCAACTGTCAAAACATAGATTTTTCATTCTACCTTTCAGTGTGAAATTAACCT